ACTTGTCAGGCCATGCTGTGGCAGGCATCCCATATAAAGAGGAGGAAGATGGGCATGGATGTTAGGCCAGGGCCAGTCTTCCTCAGCAAAAAGAGGAGGATTGGTAGATGTTAGCTCAGGGCCGATCTTCCTCACAAAAAAAAAAAAGAAAGAAAAAAAATGTATTCATAGTGAAAATCTTCCCCCAGAAAAAAATTTCAGGTCCACGTAGCTTCTCCTACTATTTAAGTAAGAAATAGTACCAATTTTACAAAAGGTCTTTTGGAAAAGAGAAGGATTATTTCCCAACTTATTTTATGAGGCCAGCAGTACTTTGATAATAAAATCTGACAAAGATTACAAGAAAAACTACAGATGTTACCCTTCACAATCACAGACAAAAATCCTTAACAAATATTAGCAAATCAAATCTAGCAATAAAAATAAGGATAATATATTATGACCAAGATAGGCTTATCTCAGGAAAGCAAGGTTAAACACTCAAAAAATTGTAATTCATGATATTAACAGAATGAAAGAGAAAAACCTTATGAATGATTGTCTCATCAAGTGCAGAAAAACCATTTGACAAATTCAACATCCTTTCTTGATCAACTCTCTCAGCAAAGTAGCCATAGAAGAAAACTTCCTCAACTGGATGAAGGAAATACATCTAACCAACACATAACATCATATATATTCATGAAACTCTGAATATTTTACTCCCATAATTGAGCATAAGGCAAGGATATCCTGAATGGAAACATTTATACCATTGAATTCAACCAGGAACAGCAGTCTTATTTAACATTTTTATAAGTGATTTGGAAGATCTTCAAGTGTGCAGATGTTATTGATTTCTTTCTGGTGGGGACAAGCCAAAATTACAACACTATTTCTAGTGTAGAGCATGTTTGCAAATTGCAGGTCAGAATTTACTGGTGGGTTGTGAAATCAATTTAGTAAGTCAAGACCAGAATATTTTTTTAATAAAATTGATTAGACTAGACTACAAAATATCAAAATCATACATCAAGGGGAAATATCGTTTTGTGAAATTTTGGTCTGGAATACATTGGACTGGCTTCTTCCTAAGTGACTTAACTTCTCCCTTAAGTGAGCAATGGTTACTCAGGAGTTCGAGAGAGAGGGTAGTGGTGGTTTATTGCTATAACACAATCAAGCTTTGCTTCCCTAAGCTTAAATGTACTTAAAGTGTGTGTGTGTGTGTGCATTGAGTCATGATGTAAAATATATTTCTTACTCTGAACTGTGATAAAAAATTTGAGGCTCCATAAACAGCAAAAGGTGATATATGAGCAAGAAAGGTGTGGGCACATGCAGAGGGGCTGCCGGCTCTCACTTCCTGCACAGGAAGGGCCTGGGAGTCTCTGTAAACATAATAGCACAGACTCTCCCCAACAGAAAGCATCAGACCACCAAGATGCTGAGCCCACTAGGAAAGAAAAGAAAAATCCTACCCTTTCCTTGTACAAAATTGTTCTCTCCACACTTAGAAGAGACAAAACAGATGGGAGGGCTACAAAATGGCAGGATTACCCAGTTGCAGTTGCTCAGTGCTACATTGCACAAGTCTAGAGGGCGCTCTCACATGCAATGTGAATGGCTCTTCCTAGAGTTGAGCAGTCCACAACCTATACAACCCTGCCAGGTAGCCATAAGCATAGTGAATAAGAGCACAAGCTTTGGAGGCCAACAAACCTGGGTCTAGTTTCAGATCTAATCCTAGGCTATATATCCTGAGGCAGGTTATTTAACCTCTCTGAGCCTCAATTTCCCCAAGAGGACACATTATATATTCCTAGGACCTAGTTCAGTGCCTAACACATATTGGTTCTCAATAAATATGTAAGTTTTTACATACAGTCTAAAAAATAGCACAGGGCAAGCACTATACATGTATCTACATGATACAGGTATCTACAAAAGATGATCAACTGAAATACTAAGATTCTTCAGGATGGAAAGACGCATGCTGGGAAAGAATTATTTTGTTTAAATTAATAAAAAATAATCATTGGCTATTGAAAGAAGAAAAACAGAAAAAAATAACACCTGGATACAGTAGGGGCCGGCCCAGTGGTGCAGCGGCTAAGTGCGCCTGCTCCGCTTTGGCAGCCCGAGGGTGTGCGGTTTCTGCCAGGGCGCACTGGGACCCCGGCTCGTCAAGCCATGCTGTGGTGGCCTCCCATAAGGTAGAGGAAGATGGGCACGGATGTTAGCCCAGGGCCAGTCTTCCTCAGCAAAAAAAGGAAGACTGGCGTCGGATGTTAGCTCAGGGCTGATCTTCCTCACAAACAAAACAAAACAAAAACAGTAGAACTTTGGTAGGGTGGCGATAATTCTTAAAGCCTGAGAGTACCTTTGGGACAAATAAAAAGTAGGAAATGAATACGTTTTGTTATTTCCAATCGTAGGCCAGGGAAGGGCAAAAACTATTGATATCTTCAAAGAATTCTAAGAATGATATTGTCATGAGCCGTGAAAGGCGGAAGCTGAAAAGTTTGGGTTCATTCCTGGCATGGGGGGGTGACAGCTGAGGGGACATGTGTTCCTTCCTCCCCCAGTGCTTATTTCCTGGTGGAATGGTGGTTTTGACGCAGTCATGACAACTCTTCACCCTTACTGAAGTCGCACAGTGGAGCAGGTCACACTGGATTGAAAGCACAAACCAAGGTCAGACTCCAGACCCCTCCTTCGCGCGTGGTTCCGCTGCCCACCTCCCGGCAGGAAGCTGCGGTGCAATCGCTCCCCCCAGAGACAGGCTGATACCAAAAGCCAGCAAAAGCACGTTTCGGGAGAGAGGGATCGCTGAGCCCCCAAGCGAAGGCACGCCAGTTAGCAGTTAGAAAAGGAGGCATTTCTCACACTTGCTAATGAGTTTGACGCTTGTGAAACATAAACAGGAAGTGGGAGCTCTCCAAAGCGACCTGAAGGAAATCCACTCCCAGTTTGGTCAACGTGTGAATCCCAGTTCTCTAGATTGTCAAGGACACTGCCAATTAAGACTGACCGCCTCCCCCCCACCCCCAAACTGCATCCGAGGCTACTCTTCACCCAGTCCCAGCGGTGACCCCATTTTTTTCAATTCTTCCCACAGCCAGGTCACTCAGCAGCGGGGTGACTGACCCGAGGCGCGGTGGGAAAGGCTTACAGTCATCTCTCAACTCCCCGAACTTGCAGGGCAGGGCAGCGCAGAGGTCAGTGAAATCCCCAGCCAGGCCTTATTTTAGTCATGAATTTCCGCTGGCTCCCTCCTCTGACTGCATAAGCGCTGCTCACACCGCAGGCTCGGCGGTTCAGCTGTTTGCCCTGCTCCAGGCTGAGTTAGAAGGTCAGAGACCGGACTTTTCCGGGGGAGGTAGGTGGGGGCCTCCGGCGGCCTAAGTGAGATTGCAGAGATCTGGAGCCATTTGGAAGCGGCCTTTCTGCCCCAGGCTCGGGGCAGTGGGTTAGCTTCTCCCCTCTCCTTCTCTACTCAGGCATCTTGGTTCGTATTAAATAAAATTAAGAAATAAAAACATCTTTTTTCTCTGTCAGCCAGTGGCACACACATAATTTTCCCAGGGCTGCCTTCCCCTCGTTGCCCAATTTATCCTCTTCCCAGAGGTTCCCGTAAACTCAAGGGCAGAATCTAGGTTTGATTCCCCACAGTGTCTCTAGCAACGGGCACACGCCTGGCACAGAGCAGGGGGCTCAACAAACGCGTGTCGACTTAATGAATGCTCAGATTTCACTGTGATGGGCAGACAGTTTTTCTCGTCTTTCTCTTCCCTCCTGCTCTGGGTGCAGACCACATTCAGCGCCGCCGAAGTTCCTGGCAGGCAGGGAGATGGCCGACCCCGGCGGGCACACCGCGTCCCAGCGGTCTCGGCCCCCCAGCCAGAGCGGAGGGGCTCGCAGTCGGCGGCCCGAGCCCCGGCCACGTGAAGCGTCACGCCCTCGCTGCTGTAGGGCAGGCACTGCCGCCGCGGTTGTGTAACGTCGCAGCCGGAGGGGAGGCGACCCGGACGCCTCTGCTCCGGAGAGGGCAGAGAGGGAGGGAACGCAGGGCACCGCGCCCGGTATCTTTCTGTGCTTGGCTAGCCGAAGGAGGGAGGGGGCACTGGGGCACCCAGGGGGGTGCGCAAGTGGGTGCCTGCCGGCCCGCACGCTGTGCCCCGGAGCTGAGCACCGGGGCAGCCAGGGGCCTGCGGCGCACACCCTCGGGGTCAGGTGCGCGCAGCGTGCTCGGCGGCGGCCTCGGCTGCCCCTGCGCTTGGCAGCCAGCCCGCTTCCCATGGGGTGACATCCGCCCCGCCCTCGGCCCCTCCCCACGGCGGGCAATTCCTGGACGCCGGCGGAGGGCTGGGGGCAGGGAAGCCGGGACGGAAAGAAACCCCAGCCTCTGGGGAAGGCAGGGGGCTGGGCGACTCCCTCCGCTGCGCGCCGGTTCCTGCGAGCCGGCCGGGCGGGGGAGGAGGAAGAGGGTTGGGCTGGAGCGAGCGAGGGGATATTCCTCTCCCGGCTTGAGTCAGACGCGGGCGGATCCGTCCTCCCCCGTTCCCTCCCAGGAGACGGGAACTTACTTCATTTCCCTGGGGCAGGTTCGCCCACGTTACCAACTGCCCCCCGGCCCCCCCGCCGGACCCCTCGGCTCCCCGGCCCCTTCTAAGCTTCCACGCCCCCCACCCGGCTGGGCAGGACCCAGGCCACGCTGCCACCCCCTCTTCGGGGAAAGGCAGCCGCAGCCGCAGACACCTGGGGGCCCAGGCTGGGGGTGGGTGCTCCCTCGCAGCCGCGGGAGCGTTGTCCAACACGTGAGACTCATGTGATGAAGCCGGGGGAGGGCGGGCAGGTCGCTCCTTCCCTCCCCGGCAGCGGCCAGACGTGCCTGGAGTCACAGGGTAGAACACGTAGCTCCAACCCACCCACACGCTCCCATTTAACCCAGCCCGCAGCCTCTCCATTACTCCTCAGCTCGCTCCCCCACCCCCCCACTCCGCCCCCCCGCGCTCTCTCCCGCCTCCCCGCCCGCCCCACTTCTCATTCACTTGGCTCGCACGGCTCAGACGGCGCAGGGAGCACACACCGCCAGTCTGTGCGCAGAGCCAGAGCCAGAGGCCGCGGGGACACCATGCACGCCCCCAACTGAAGCAGCACCTCAAAGCCGCAGCTCCCAGCAGCCTAGCGGATTTCAGGGAGCTCAGACTCAGAAGAACTCCTGTGGAGAGACCCCCCCCCAAACCCTCTTCCAGTACAGTCTTCATCCCGACGTTCCGCTACTGCAGGCAGGAGCGCACAGTGCCCCGGCTCGCCGCGCCATGGAGCGGATCCCCAGCGCGCAACCGCCCCCCGCCTGCCTGCCCAAAGCGCCAGGACTGGAGCCCGGAGACCTACCAGGGTAAGTTGGCACCCTCTGGCCCCTTCAAGCCTCAACTCCAGCCCTGCGTTCCGCGCCGCTCTTAACTCGGAGCAGCTCTGGGCGCATCCGGGGGCTTTTGCCCGCCAGGGGTCTTGCAGCCGGTGCGCACGCAAAGTCACGACCCTTCCCGGTCCCTCTCTCTGCAGGATGGATTTTGCCCACATGTACCAAGTGTACAAGTCGAGACGGGGAATGAAGCGGAGCGAGGACAGCAAGGTGAGAGCACTGCGCCCTTGGGGACCCCAACCCCTTGCACGCGCTGAGTCTCCAAGAAAAGTTTTCTCACTGTGAGGTTGGCGGGGGTATGCAAGGGGTGGGCTCAGCGCCTCTACTGAGTGGCATGGAGAAGAAAGGGCAGAAGGTGATTCTGGGTGACTCTGCTCCGCTGCGCCAACTCTTATCACGCCGGGGGTAGGGGAGAAAGGGGGTTCCTACCCCCTTCCTCAGGCGCCCACCGCCTCCTCGTGCGCCTTGCAGGAGACCTACAAACTGCCGCACCGGCTCATCGAGAAAAAGAGACGTGACCGGATTAACGAGTGCATCGCCCAGCTGAAGGATCTCCTCCCCGAACATCTCAAACTTACAGTAAGTGAGAAGCTGGCTCCCCTCCAAGCCAGCTCCTCTGCCCAGAGGGCGGGCAGGGGTCACTCGCCGCCTGCAGGCCCCGCAGGGAACTGCAGACTAGATGGCCGGATCCGAGCTGACGGGTGGCTCTGTTTTGGGGTACCCTTCCCCAGTCCTGGGATTTTCTGGCAGCCTCACACAAATGAAGTGAGAACTTCTTGGACTTCTCCAAGTTGGCTCCAACACCAACTGGCCTTCCTTTTCAAGAGTTTAAGACTTGCCCTTCTGGTGATTTTCAGGGTTCTCTAGTTTAACAGACTTGAGCAGACCAAGCAATTCGCAGATTTTATTTACGCCCCTCTTTTCGCTCGCCCTCCCCCTTTTTAAATAAGCGGACTTGTTTTGGTATGTAATTTTTACGTCCTGTCCTGTCTTGGCAGTAGCCAACAGCTTACTACTTTGGCAGCCTTTGGTTGGGGAAAGGAGAAAAAAAAGTATTTGAGGAGGAAGAAAAAAGCCTAGATGAGCTGGAAGTTATGAAAAGGTGTCAGGAAAGAAGCTAGGGAAAGCCTTCTGGCTGCCAGACACAGCAGAGGTCCTTGCTTGGGTTGACAGCACTGCAGAGAAATGTTATCTCCGGATCCCCGAGTTAAGGTCCGCAGCGGCTGCTGAGGCAGCTGCCGCTTCCAAAGGGCCTCCGAAGATAGGTGACACTCGTTTTTCGTTCTTTAATCAGAAACATATATATAATATATACTGTTTAAAAACATAATCTATAAACTTAAAACTAAATTTAGCCAACCAGGAAAGGCTATTTCTTGCCCCCCCCCCCGAGACATTTCTCTTTCTCGTTGCTAATAAATGTCCCAGAGGTGGGACTTCCCTGAGCTCACTGCTGACCGAGGCTCTTTTTATTCCAGACTTTGGGTCACTTGGAAAAAGCGGTGGTTCTTGAACTTACCTTGAAGCATGTGAAAGCACTGACAAACCTAATTGATCAGCAGCAGCAGAAAATCATTGCCCTGCAGAGCGGTTTACAAGCTGGTGAGTGCCCGAGCCTGGCTATCATCTCTTAAGAGTTCTAGCACAAGTAGAGAGCCTGGGGGCTCAGCCTCTGGTATAAAAAACATTCCTGCAACAAACTGCTTATGCACATTTGTTGGAGGAGATGCTGTTTTATCTTTCCTAAAAGGTCAGACTTTTCATTTGGAATGCTGCTGTGTGCCACCTGGCATGAATATGTATTAGTCAAATGATAAAATATTTCTGTGGCATTTTGGCTTAAGAGTTTCTGAGTTCTGGGAGATTTTCCCCCTCCCTTTGAAAATGCCGAGACACCTATAATTGGCATTGTGGATGATTTATAGTTCGTCTTCTTAGCCCTCTTTCATTGGAGAATAAGTCATGGGCATGCCCCAGTGTTTTCCTGTTTCTCTACTTCCTTATTGCTCGGTGTGTGGTATGATCCTGGCAGGATGACAGCAGGAGTTTTTCCTGCATTTCATGTGGTTCCCTGAATAGCCACTAGGTATCTTGGCGAATTGCACAATCTAACGAAACCACTGAAGTTTTGTCATTCGTTTCTACCGACTTCCAGAGAATCATAGTCACCTTCTAACCTTCTCGTCTCACCCCTTCCAAATAATGCTGTACAGACTGGGGAGAAATTCTTCCACGCATTCCCTCATTCCATTCTTCTCTACTCTGCTTTCCAAGGCTAGTGTGATGAGAATCACAAAAACCTAGCAAGCACAACTGCCAGTTTCCTCCTTGAAAATAGAAAGATGATCATACCTCATTTCCTGGGGGTCGTGGATAGAATACAGGGAAAAGGCTTAGAAATAGCCTTTAAATTTAAAGATTATAGTATGACTGCAACTTGTATAAGTCATTGAAAATAAGCTTACTTTAGGTGATATTGTTCATTCTTTATGTCATTTTATGACTATCTGGTCTCTGTCCATTTTGCTACAGTGAGATTGACATTCTATGAATGACTCTTTGTGGTTTATAAACATATGAGGATGTTCATTGCTGTGTCACTTATAATGAAAACTCAGGAACAACCAATAAATTCAACAAGAGGAGAAATAGTCCGTCTCAATTATGGTCTAGTTCTATGATGGGATATTATGCAGCCATTACAATCATATTTCATCTCTGGGTGGTAGGCTCATGGATGATTTTTATTTTATTCTTTATACTTTTCAGTGTAATCCAGATTTTCTCTGATCATGTTACTTTTGGAGTTAGGAACATAAATCAGCAAATACTGTTAACAAAAAGGCAAGCTCCTGATCTTCGGAGTACAGGTATCCAGGTGAACCACAGGGCCTTCTGAAATGTCTTCCTTTGGGTCTGTGTTGATCCAGGTGACCTGTCGGGGAGAAATGTGGAAGCAGGCCAAGAGATGTTCTGCTCAGGTTTCCAGACGTGTGCCCGGGAGGTGCTTCAGTACCTGGCCAAGCATGAGAACACGCGGGACCTGAAGTCTTCACAGCTCGTCACTCACCTCCACCGAGTGGTCTCAGAGCTGCTGCAGGGTGGCACCTCCAGGAAGCCGTCAGACCCAGCGCCCAAAGTCATGGACTTCAAGGAGAAACCGAGCTCCCTGGCCAAAGGCTCCGAAGGCCCTGGGAAAAACTGTGTGCCCGTCATTCAGCGGACTTTTGCTCACTCAAGTGGGGAGCAGAGTGGCAGTGACACGGACACAGACAGCGGCTATGGAGGAGAATCAGAGAAGGGTGACTTGCGCGGCGAGCAACCGTACTTCAAGAGTGATCATGGACGCAGGTTCACCATGGGAGAAAGGATCGGTGCTATTAAGCAAGAATCTGAAGAACCCCCTACAAAAAAGAGCAGGATGCAGCTCTCAGATGATGAAGGCCATTTCACTAGCAGTGACCTGATCAGCAACCCGTTCCTGGGCCCACACCCACACCAGCCTCCCTTTTGCCTGCCCTTCTATCTGATCCCACCGTCAGCAACAGCCTACCTGCCCATGCTGGAGAAGTGCTGGTATCCCACCTCTGTCCCAGTGTTGTACCCCGGCCTCAACGCCTCCGCTGCAGCCCTCACCAGCTTCATGAACCCAGACAAGATCTCGGCCCCCTTGCTCATGCCCCAGAGACTCCCTTCTCCCTTGCCAACCCATCCTGCCATCGACTCTTCTGCCCTGCTCCAGGCTCTGAAGCAGATCCCCCCTTTAAACTTAGAAACCAAAGACTAAACTCTTAGGGGATCCTGCTGCTTTGCTTTCCTTCCTCCCTACTTCCAAAAAACAATTGTGTTTGTGAATGCAGCGAGATTGTTCTGGTGTGTATGCCGCGATCATCTGAGGCGTGGAGAGAAGATTTGGGGGGTGTGAGTGTGTGTGTGTGAGTGTGTGTGAGTGTATGTGCCTCGTGTGTTGGTATAGGACACTGAAGCTCCTTTTGGCGTAGGGAAGACATGAAGGATTGCCTGACATCAGGAGATTTAGGGGGGATTGTAGCAGACCTCTGGGCTTTTCCCCACCCAGAGAATAGCCCCCTCTGATACAAAATCAGCTGGATTTTCAAAAGCTGCAAAGTCTTGGTCTGTGAGTCAGTCTTCACCTTGGGAGCCGGGTCTGTGGCTTTGAGAAAAAGGTACTTTCAAAAGAGGGCTTTCCAGAGTACAGTTCCCAGCCAGCCCTTATGACCCCACCCTTCTCCCTTTTCTTGTCGCCGTGACTCACCATATGGGGAGAGGGCAGCCAGACTGAGCTCTCTGCAAAGTGGTGAGGTAGCAGACACTGGCATAGCACGGTAGTGGTTTGGGGAGATTTCCGCAGGTCTGCTCCCCACCCCTGCCTCGGATGAATAAAGAGAATGTAGTTCCCTACTCAGGCTTTCATAGTGATTAGCTTACTGAGGAACTGAAAAGGGTACAGGCCAAGCTGCCAGGGGATGAGGGAGGAGTGCCTGGGGTCTCTGGCACCTGTTTCTGAGTCTCATCTAGAAACATTCTTGCTGTCCAGGGAACCAAACCACAGTCTGAGAGATCCAGGCGCCTAGGTTCCCAACACCCCAAAGTGCTTAAAGCCAGGTAACAAATTGCTGCCTTCAACAAGCAGAGCTCGACTCCGTTTTCAGTTCTATCTTAAAACTCCTTTTAACCAAGCTTAGCTTCTTAAAGGCCTAACCAGCCCTTGGCACAGCAAGATCCTTTCTGCAGGCTGATTCCCCTCGTCCGACAGCACATGGAGTGTCCTTACTGCTGAAAAGGATTCTGTCTCCTTCAAAGAAGTTTTATTTTTGGTCCAGAGTACTTGTTTTCTGACTTGTCCAGCTAGCCCTGCACCAGCTTTTCAAAATGCACTATGCTTGATCGCCGATTGTGTTTTAACTTGTTCTTTTCCTGTTTTTATTTTGGTATAAAGTTGTTGCCTTTATTTGTAAAACTGTTATATATTATATAAATATATTAAAAAGGAAAATGTTTCAGATGTTTATTTGTATAATTACTTGATCTACAAAGTGAGAAAAATGAATGTATTCCTGTTTTTGAAGAGAAGAAGAATTTTTTTTCTCTAGGGAAAGGTACAGTGTTTATATTTTGGAGCCTTCCTGAAGGTGTGAAATTGTAAATATTTTTATCTATGAGTCAATGTTAAGTAGTTGTTTTAAAAGACTTAATAAAATAATCCTTTTCCTGTGGAAGAGAAAGATGGGTCTTCTGCATTTTTAAAAATAACTCCATTGTGTGATGTGGCTGTCTCCTTCTGCCCTCCTCTTTTGGCTGAAGGCAACAACTAGTTAATCTTGGTGTCATTTCATTCAGCTTTTCATGTGCCTTGTATTCAGATAGAGTAAGCTTAGTCAATTTAGTAGGTAAATATTTGTTTCATTTTTTTTTTAACTAACCGTTGCCAGAGGTTTACAGTCATCCTACGCCTCCTTCCAGAGTTGAGCAAAAAGTACATTTTTTCCCCCACTCTGCTTTTGTCGTGGTCCTTAGAACTTGACAAAATCAAAGTATGAAATCGTGGGCCTTTGTGTCTGGGGAGCTTACCGGAGGGGTAGGCACACTGAGAAAAGATTTAATGGATTATTATGCAATAATAATTGATGCTGGGGAGAACACCTCTTTGCCAAGGCAGTCTAACTTTTTCGAGTCTAGCAAGGTCTAATGGATTTGCCATATCCTGTCTTATTGCTGCTGAAGGCAACATTCCATAATTATTTTCTACATCCTTCCTGGACTTCCTCTCACTGGGTGTGTTTGTGCGTGAATGAATATTGGTGTTCCTTAGTCAAGAGCTCTTAGGAAAAAAAAAATTTCTTGGGAAATGACCCAGTGGAGTATTTTTGCCTTTCCCCTTCTCCCTCTCAGAGGTGTCCTAATGTTTCCTGATCGCCAGTGCCTGGCTTGTCATGCTCCAGGTCCCAAAGCATCCCAGTCTTCCAGAACCCTCTGGTTGTCTGGAGCCCATGCAGGGAACCAGCCCCCAGGGCGTTCTCAGCCAGGCGAAGGCACCACCTGCCCCTCATGACTGTTCACTGCAAATGTCACCTTCCCTGTCTCTTGATGAGCCCGCAGGCGAGAGTGAGTGAGCATTGCCTGGCTTGTGTGAGATGCAGAATGCACGGTCTAAAAGGCACAATTGTCCCCAGGCAGCATAGAGTTGGGGAAGGGGCCCTGAACCAGGAATCAGGAGGCCTGTCATCAACGAACTGGTGGTCTATCATCTCCCGCTCCGCGCCTGTTTTCGACCACTTAAAATAAGATTCTGAGCCCTTCTCACATGTCCTATAGCACCAGACGGCGAATTCTGTCAGTCCCTCTTCCTCCCAGCTTCTCAGGGCCAGGTCTCCTGCCTGATAAGACTCTGCATTCCTCCATGAATTGCTAGGGCTTTCTGGCTAGACTTTTCTGGTAAAAACCTAAACAAGTCAAGTTGAGCGTAGAGATGAGCTGGGGTTTGAAATCAAGACGGAACTCTCCTTCCATGCCCCTCTCTCTCCTGGGCCATGACTCAGGGAGTAGCTGTGGGGACAAAAGGAAGTGGTTGGAGCAACCTGAACTAAAAAAAGTTTTGAGGGTTCAACACATAGTCAACCCAGAATCCCCCTCCAGGAGTCCGCCCCTCCCAAGCACCCCTAAAAGTGGCAGCTGTCCCTCTGCCTCCTTTTCTGCTTCTGGCTTGCCCGTGACCTTCCTGCTAGCCCGGCTGCAGCAGGTTCCAAGCGGCTCAGAGGGAGACGCGGAGGAGGGGCTTGCACCCTAGTCTTGCGCCGGTTCCGCACAAAGAGGACCTCTGTTTAACAAGGGGTGTGTGTGCGCGCGCGGGGGTGAAGCCCTGGCTTCGGGGACAAGGAGAGGTGGCAGGAGGCAGGGGAGCGGAGGCTGGGCATCTGGCCGCCTTCAGACAGGGCGTGATCCTCCAGGCCTGCCGGGATGGTCTCACCCAGCGCTGACCTGCCTCGCCTGTTGACACAACGTCACGTTTCCGACTGCAACCCTTTCATGTGCGGCCCGCGGCTAAATGCGGCTGCCGGTTCCTGGAAGCAGACGTGCCTGGCACCGCGTCAGCAGAAACTTGATCCCCGGGGAAGCTTGGCAAGGCCACGGGCTCGCTCGGCCCCCAGAATAGGACCTGGCAGCGGGCGCCGGGCAGCCCCCCCTCGCGCCCAGCAGGAGGGAATCCGAGCGCTCTCCCGCGGGGGTGGGAGGGAGGGCTGGGTGGGGTAGGGAGCTGGATTTAGGCAGGGCCTTGGGGCAGGAGCCTAATTAACGAGAAGCTAGAAGCTTCCCACGGGTCATCGCTCGTTAATGAAGCCTAACGATCTAAAAGAACCATTATGGGTACTGTTATAATTCACGTTTTGTAGATAAACAAAAGCAGGCTCAGAGAGGGGAGGTAACTTGTCTAAGGCCATACAGCTTCAGAGTCACTAAACCATTAGTGGGATGGTGAATATGTTTGATTGTGACTCTCCTTAATCGGATCCAAGGTGAAGGCTTTCAGAGTCTCGTTGTTAATAATAGTAACAACACAAATACTACTACTGCTAACAGCAAACACGTTTGTAGCACTTACTGTTTGCCAGAGTCTTCAAAGCACTCCACATACAATAACTTAATTTTCACAGCAACTCCATGATGTACGTATAATTATTATTCCTCTTATGTGGGTAACAAAATGCAGGCACAGAGAGAGGTTAAGTAACTTTCATAAAGTCACACGGCTCCACTGGTGAGTTGGAATTTAAGCCTAGGCAACTTGGCTCCAGAGTCGACGTGCTTAACTACAAAACCACACTGCCCTTCTCATTAAATAATAGTACATATAGTAATAATAAGAACAGTAAAAGTAGTAATAGTTGCAATAATTAGTAATTGGTAATAAGTACTACCGTATTTTGAGTACTTTCCCTCTGCCAGGCACTATATTAACCACTTTGTGTGAGTTATCTGTACTTCCTATAGCAACTATGAAGGGTAAATATTACTATGCCCATTTTACAGATGAGAAAACTGGAGCTCAGAGAGGGGAAATGCCTCATCTGAGGTGACACAGCATATCAAGGACAGAGCCCTGCCCTTTCTCTGGTGTGGAACTGCTTCTAAACTGAGCTGCCATGATGTTGGATTGGGACATGCATTATCTCATTTAATCCTCAGAATAGCCCTGAGGAGTAGTTACTGCGATCCTTGGTGCTCTGATGAGATAACTGAAGCTCAGCGTAAAGGTACAGTCCTGTGGCACTTTTCGATGAGGCTACGTTCTGAGAAATGCGTCGTTAGGCGATTTCGTCATTGTGTGAACATCGTAAAGTATACTTACACAAACCTGAATGGTCAGCTAGGCTGTATGGTACTACCTTATGGGACCACCATCGTATGTGCGGTCTGTCATTGACAGAAACATCGTTATGCGGCGCATGACTGTTTTTGCCCAACTCTTTATTTGCTTCCTTACAAGTGCCCCGAATGCCATCCCACAGTCCAAATGGGCCCGTTGTCTAGTTAAAGAACTAACCTCACAGGACTATCGGGGCATATGGGGACCCCACGGGTTGACTGTGCTGAGAACCAGAATGTGGGTTTGAGGAAATTCTCTCTCAAGGTGTTCTGGGGTGAGGGTGGGGGCATTCCTTTTCTCACATCTCTCTTAGGGTTAGGAGAGGTGGAGGTAGAGGGACCTGGGGCAGTGGTTACATATGGACCGTTGGGAGCAAGGCAGATCTGATGGAAGCAGGCAGGGAGGGAGGCCGAGATTGAGGTCCAACCTCCCTTGCTAGAAGGGAACCTGGGCAAGCTCGGAGACAAGGCCACTGCAGCTCCTGTCTCTGTCAGGGTCCTTCAGCCCACCTGCACCCTGGCCCATTGCTCCAGCCTCTGGCCATCTCCCCAGGACTTGGCTGGTGAGGGGTAAGCAAGAAGCCACTTCGCTTTGTGGAATGGGGTCAGTATCTCAGGATGGAGTTTGACGTGCTGCCAGGTTTCTCCTCAGGCCTCTGGAGCCCACTTCGAGCTCAAAGAGACAGAATGTGTTGAGTTCCCAAGTGGTTTCCTGTAAAGACTATGTGTTAACAGGATCGGGGTGTTCTCCCAAGACCCAGAATTCCCTGAGGAGCCACGTGGCGTGGAGGGAGGGAAGGTTCTGTCTGGGCTTCTCACCCCCTCTTCAGCCGGAGCCGATTCCTTTTCCTCTGTCTTATATGTCGTGATGGTTTGTTTGAACAAGAGTTCCATTGCTAAAAAACATCACAAACATGTTTGGAAGGCACCAAACTACAGCCCCTTCCTCAGCCATCGCCTTTCTCTAGGATCCAGAGGGAGACAGAGGCCACTCAGAACCACCCCCCACCCCCCACCCAGCACCACCCCCCTGTTTATCCCAAGCCATCTGTTTGGCCCGACTACCACAGCGGAACATGAGACGGGCAAAGCCTCTCCCATTGGCTATGGAAGCCACTGACATGCTTGTCTCGCGGCTGGGCCATCCAGTCTTGTGATGTGGCTGGACTGGGGCCCAGAAGGTTTCTTCCAGTATAGATGGGGCCCTCCCTTCCCGGAGGAATCTTAGCAAAGGCACTGAGGTGGGACATCAGGGAATGAATCACTAGGCTGCTAGGTAGAGGGGTCAGCCTCAGGCTGTGGCCAAAATGATGGGGACAGCCAGCCTCTGCCACACCTGCGTCCCAGCCCTGCTCTCCTACCCTCCACCCACCTTCGAGAGGATGAAAGGGAAGAAACTTGGGCTTAGTTATTTGTTTGAAGAGCAAATACG